TTGCCCTGCCTCATCGTTGTTATTCTTTCACGGGCTTTGCGATCAGCCAGGGGGTCTTCAAATCGTCTTCTCAACGAGGACATGAAACGGTTGAAGTTACTGAGTTCTGGGGCATTGGAGTCATGCAGGTTCACCACCCAATCTGCAGCTGGTCCATCCAGGGCAGATTGCACGATCCGGATGCGGGCTTTGTCGCTGGGGATGTCCTGCCCATATTCCTCCATGTAGCTGAGGACTTGGGTTAGGAAAAACCCCAAGCGTGTTGGCTCCCCTTTGAATTTCACCTCCAACGGTGGACGTCTTGGAATGGATCGGTGCCTCCATTGTGGGTGGTAGTGTCTTCCGTCCAGATTTCCATCTTGGGTCCGGTAGGGGGTGGGAGCTCCTGGATCAGTAAATGTCCTTGGGGTTGCAGGTTCCACGTCCCCCTCGGTGTCTCTCCCTTTGTGGCTCCAGGAACTGGGGCGGGCGTAGGGCTCAGGAATCTCCTCTCCTAGGGAGCTGAGAGTTCTCTTCATCAGGTCAATAGCTTTCTCTAGGATCCAGTCTGAGTACGGCATACAGCTTCCTCCCTCTTTACTTGCGTGCAGGGATTTCTCCATCTCCTGCTTCCATTCTGGTTGCTTGGTCCCCCGTCTCAGGGTCACTTTTCTTGATTCCTTTCCCCACTCGCTTTTCTTTCCAACGCCCATCGACCAGTGAGGCTTGTGGTCCTGTGTCTCCACCACTTCTTCTTCTGAGAAATCTGGCCTCTCGGATCCCAACATCTGGCAAGGTTCCAACTGGGTCAGCGGCTCTCTTTCCAGGGAGTTTTCTCCCTCTCTTGCTTCGTTGTCTGACATGGTAAATTTTTGCAAAATCCCCCGGCAAGGGTCTCCCTTCCAGGTGGATTAATTTTGCAAGTCCTGTCTAATGTAAGGACCCACCCCACTTTGCATCTTAAGAAGACAGAACTCTTGGAATAATTCTTCCAACAGGAATCCTTTATTAAGAGAAAATGGTTGCAGGCATGCTAGACAGGACTTGGGGTCCAAGCTCTCCCATTCAAGGTTTTAAGGGGTTCCCCAGTAGTCCCACCCAATCAACCCCCCTTCCAGTGATAGTTTCAAGTATCACAATTCCACCCCGTTTCTTCTTTCTTCCGTCTGGATGGAGACTTCAGATAACTACATGAAAGGCAAATACTCTTCTTTGTTAATGCTAATGTTCTCTGGTGTTAACGCTTTGAGGTTACAATAGGTTACAATAAACACACATTCAGCATTCAGCTCTTTGAAGTCTACTGAAGGAAGTGAGGGCCATAAAGCCCCTTTGTTCTCCCCCTTCTCTCCCTCTTATGGCAGAATCCAAAGAAGGCAGAATTGGGAGTTTCTATATTTGATAATTAAAGATGAAATATGATTGGATTCTGACATACACTGTATGTCCGATTATTGAAGGTCTGGCAATGTATCTGTTTCTGGAGGTAAATAATGCTCACTCCCATCTTTGGAGGGAATCCGAGCTGACCTCCTGCCGTCCACATTTACCAGGTCAACATCTTCTTCAATCCCATCTCATTTGACCCATGCCTGGGAGATGCTGTTACGTGAGGACCATCATCTAGGGCTCATCAGCTCTGGCCTTGCTCCCCAGCCGCCTCCTCCTCCTCCTCCTCTCCAGGAGACCCACCCCAACGTGGGGCTGAAGGGCCCCTGCCGAGCAGCATTGACGGGAAGTCTGTGCGGTTTACTGCTCTCCCAAGAGCTCTGCAGCCCTGGGGTCAGAGGGGATGGGAGATGATCGATGCAGCCTTTTGAAAGGTCACTTCAACTCCACTGAGTCCCAACCTTTTGACAGCCGAAGCAAACGAGAGGAGGGGATAATAGACAGTCAAAGGAATGGAGGGCTTTGTGGCCCAAGTATTGATTAGGAATTGGGGAGCTGCTGGACAGGCAGTGCTAAGCAGACTCCAGTCATGGAGCAGCATTCTTTGCCTTTGTACACAATACGGTATGTGGAGGGGGGGGTGTTTGTCACCCAAATCTTTTTACCCCTTCATTCTGACTTGATCCCCATTCTCAGGGAAAAAAGATTAAGTCAACAAAACGCCTCTTCCCTGGAAGAACAAAGTCAAAGTCGGTGACTTGTTACCAAAATGTTATTGGACAAAAAGCAAGGACCCACAGAATTAGGAGATCAGATTAGCCCCTGATGAAGCCATGGCTTGCTTATTCAGAGTTTGAGCCAGTCACAATGGCCTCAATGCCCATGGTTCACAAATAATGGCCAGCTTCACACATTAGAAGGAGATTAACTAGCCAATCCACCCAACAAGTTAGCATTCGTTAAACCAATCAAGATGTTCTTTCATCTGCACTGCTGATAAGGATAGCAATCAGGTAGTCCTTGATTTATCACCGTAATTGAGCCCACAATTTTGGTCATAAGTCATGGCAGTCATAAAAGTATCCCCGTGTGACCACACCATTTTTGCAGCAGTTATTAAGCAAACATAGTGGTCGTAAAGCAAACCCATTGTTTGCTATGAGGTCATTTTTGCAGGAAACCAGAAGTAAACATCGATTTCTGGCAAAAAATGTATAAATTGGCCTCATGTGACCACGGAGCACTGCTTACAGTCATAAATGTGGGTCAAAATACATGACCCACAGAAACGTCTTCAGCTCCATTCCCCACCATCCAGTCAGAGCTGAAGAAACTTCCTGGATGAGAAGCGAAATGTCTTCAAAGAAAAACAAGAAAGTCCAGTTGCCTCCTGAAAAAGCATCTTTGGGATTCAAACGAAATGTTTTGGGAACGGTCTCTTCAGTTGTGGGCTGGCCTGTATGCAACTGCATGCCATCCCCGGTTGTCTGACCTTGAGGTTGTGTCTCCAGAAGATACAGTGCATAGTGAACTTCCCCCCTCTCCCATCCAGCTTCTTCCCCCCAAAGTTCATGACAGACTGGTGTGGAGCAAATGCAAAAAAGTGCAGGCGTGAGGTGGCAATTCTGACAGAGTCTAAAGCAGGAAGTCATTCAGAGGCATAATATAATGCAGTGGTTCTCAACCTTTTTAATGTCGCGACCCCCAACCGGTCGTAAGTCAAGGACTACTCAACTGGTGCAGCACCGTTTGCAGAATGGGACTTTTGGCAGGCTCAGCAGGGCAAAGACAGCCTGGACAATTCCTATTGGCTTTTGAAAGCCAATAGAATTAGACTCTATTCAAGAGAGTCTATTCTATTGGCTTTCAAAAGCCAATAGAATAAAAGGGAGTAGCACAGCTAAGGAAAAGGGGGGAAAATGGCGGACTGCATTGTTTGGCGACCCCCGTGAAATGGTCGTTCGACCCCAAATGGGGTCCCGACCCACAGGTTGAGAACCATTGATATAATGCCTCTGATAATATAATCAGGTGAGCATGACTGAAGCTACATCAAGAAAATACTGTAGTGCTTAAAGGTTTGGGAATTCTTTTGAATGTTCAATATTTCTGCATTAATATGGCCTGAAACATGTTCTGTTCTCCACACATCTTAAAACTAGACAAAGGGAACCTAACGAAGTAGATGTGTCAAAACATTATACTTGTTCATTGATGTATTGAGTAAAATAATGCAAAGCTACCTATTTCTACGTAGCAAAAGTATGTAAATCTTTGCTTTCGGTAACTGACGTGCCTCTCTTGGGAAGCCACATCTACAACTAAACAGTTCTGTTTACGGTTGATCAGTCCTGCACATTCGGCTTGGAGGAATTTTAACCCATTTCTCTATACATCTCTGGGATGTTGGGGTGCTTCCTCACACAAACTGCCTCTTAATTCAGCTCCGTCCACTACATTTCTATAGGATTAGGGTCAGGATTTTGATTTGGCCATTAACTTTGTTTTGGCCAAAACATTAACTTTCTTCTGCTTTAGCCATTCTTTGGTCCTGTGGCTTGTGTATTTTGGGTTGTTGATCTGGTTGAATCACTCACTTTCCTTTGAACTTCAGTTCACAGGGACCCTGCCATTTTCCTGTAGAATCTGCTGGTGCAGTTCAGAATCCAGAACTTTATCAAAGCTGGCAAGCCATCCTGAGCCTTAGCAGCGAAACGGGCTCAAACTATGATACTGTCACTACCAGGGCTTTTTTTGTCATAGAACGCTCAGAATGGAGTTCCAGCACCTTTTTTGGATGGAACCTTGTAGGGTAGGCAAGGCGGGTTGTATAATGTTTGTGAGTTCCTGCACCTTTTTTTTTTTTTTTAACAAAAAAAGCACTGGTCACTACCAGGTTCCATTGATGTGATAAGCTTCTTTTGCTGGAACACAGTGGTTTCTTTTGACCAAACATATCGCTTTTCATTCATAGAACACAGAATCATAAGGCTGGAAGGGACTTTGGAGGTCTTCTAGTCCAACCCCCCCTGCTCAAGGCAGAAGATCTTATACTGGGATGGGCAATTCATTTTCCCAAGGGGTCACATGAGAAACTGGGACTGTTGTGGAGCACTGAAACAATGGGTCTGTGAAGGTTTATAGGCACACACACACATATGTAAATTGGAAAAAAATAGCCCTCCCCTTCAAAATAAAAGCAAAGCAGTTGCAATGCATACATGATATATTCTTATTTACATTTGGATTTCCAATTAACAACTGACCTCACACAGACTGGATAGGGATAGCCAAAAGGCAGGACATGGCCCAGGCCCATAAAATGCCCAGGTCTGCCTTATACCATCCCAAATAGTGATCCAATCTACATTTGAAACCCTCCAGTGATGGAGCACCCGCAAACTCTTCCATTGATTCATTATTCTCACAGTCAGAAAATTTCTCCTTACTTCTAGGTTGGATCTCCCCTTAACAAGCTTCCACCCATTGCTTCTTGTCCTGCCCTCTGGTGTTTTGGAGAATAAGTCAATCCCCTCGTCTCTGAGACAGACCCTCAAGAGCCATGGTGGCGCAGTGGTTAGAATATAGTATTGCAGGTTAATTCTGCTGACTGCCAGCAGTTCAATTCTCACCTGCTCAAGGTTGGCCCAGCCTTCCATCTTTCCAAGGTCGATAAAATCAGGACCCAGATTGCTGGGGGAGGGCCACATGCTGACTCTGTAAACCGCTTTGAGAGGGCTGTAAAGCACTGTGAAGCGGGATATAAGACTGTTATTGTTATTGTTCAAATATTGGAAAACAGTCATCATGTCCCCCTTAATCCTTTTTTGATAGGCTAGATATATCTAGTTCCCTCAACCATTCATAATACGATTTAGCCTCCAGACCATTTATCATCTTTATTGCTCTTATCTGTAACATCTTTTTTGTATCATGATGATCAGAACTATACACAATATGTCGAAAGAAAAGTATTTAAACAAAAACTTCTACTTTGGTCTGATCCATGCATAGAATATTCTTCCAATGGCCTTCTCACTTATCCATGCAGTCTTCTGTGAACTGTAGATAGGTAGCAATATTCTTTTTGGATATCATTGCATAATCCTCGCAACCCTGCCATGCACACTATTGTTGTTCAGTGTTCTCACTGATGGTGGTTTGGGAACATTGACATTCACAAATGCAGGAGAAGCCTTTAATCCCTTAGACATTACCCTACATGCTTGTTCTTGGTGTGATCACTCCTGAGGATAATAATGGTCTTGAACTGCCTTGGTGCAGTTGGTGCACAATCTGCCTGACCGTAGACTGGTTGAGTCTAAACTTATTTGGAAATAGTTTTGTACAGTGCTTTTTTTGTCACAAAACACATGGAACGGTGTTCCAGCACCTTTTTTTGAATGGAAGAACCAGTTCCTTCTAAGCTGCCAGTGCGAGTGCAGGTAATCCCCGAGTTACAAGCGTTCACTTAACGTTCTCATGCTTCCCCTTCCCTTCCTGCTGTGCGGGACTCACCTGGAAAAGGTCTGTCTCCTCGCTGCAGCGGTTCCTGCTGCCTCTCCGATCTGAGGCCAGGGGACACATCCACAGCCCCCAGCAGCCCGATACGGGCTCCGGAGGCCTGGAAAAGACCTCTGGAGCTGAGATCTATGGCCGTGGAATGATTTTGCACCCCCCCCAGTGGACCAATCCAGGCTCCGGAGGCCTGGAAAGAACCTCCGGAGCCCGGATCTATGGCTGCGGAGTGATTTTGCGCCCCCCCCCTGCGGCCCGATCCGGGCTCCAGAGGCCTTTTCCAGGCCTCCAAGGCCCGGATTGGGCTGCTGGGAGGCCGTAAAATCACTCCGCAGCCATAGATCTGGGTGGCAGAGGTCTTTTCCAGGCCTCCAGAGCCCACATCGGGCCGCCGGGGGCTTTGGACGCATCCCCTGGCTTCAGATCGGAGCGGCAGCAGGAACCACAGCAGAGAGGAGACAGACCTTTTCCAGGTGAGTCCCACGGAGCAGGAAGGGAGGGGGAAGCATGAGGTATCTTGGTTGGGGAGGCCTTGGGGGCCTGTTCCATCAATAGGCCCTCCATGGCCTTCCCCATCCTGAGATATGTCATGTTTATTTAATAAGCCATGTGCTTTTTAACGAACAAGGGAGTGATCTCGCTAAAAAAATGAGATTCACTCTACGAGTTTTCGAATTACGAGTGGAATGGGCAGGCTCCATTACATTCATAACTCGAGGACAACCTGTAAAGCTCTGGCTCAATGAAAGGAAGGTGCCCAGGGAAATCAGGGGTATTGAAGGTTGACCCGGAAACAGTTCCACGGCCCTGAAAGCAGACCCTCTTCTCTGCCTTGGTTCATGGGGTTTTCCCCGCTGCCGCTGCCTGTCCTCACCACCGTGTTGGCCACCAGGGACTACGACTGACTCCTGGAGCGAATCTCTTCGAGAGATCAGGCACGCTCCCAAAGCAGCAGCACCACCACCACTTTGGTCGCTCTGGCTCCGGAGGAAGACTGTGTGTCATCAGAGGCAGAGGAGGACGAGGTGGCAGAAGACATGATGGCTCCGAACAAGCACCCTCTCAAAAGCCACCACAATGGCATCCGTCAGCTGATGCTGCTCACGTGATCGGTGCCGCTCCATAAGGGCTTTTCCATAAGTGGAGCCAGAGCTGTGTGTGAGTTCCGTCACCTTTTTTTTTTTTTCAAAAAAACCCACTGGTTTTGTAACTTTTTCCAGCCTGGTGCATACCAACTGTTTTTCAGAGGCCTTCAAAAATCTTGTTTGAGCCAGGCCATACTTGATATGCCTCTGTCATCTCTTTGCTTAATTACTGGTAATACCCAGACTTCTGCTCTTTAAATAAAGCAGGAACTCTCATGCTCACACCTGATTATCATCCCATTGATTGAAACACCTGACTCTAATTCCCCTTCCAAATAAACTGATAATTCAAGAGATTCAACTACTTTTGCCATACAGAAATACGTAACTTTGGATCATTTCCTCAATAAATAATATAATCTTTGCAACTCATTTAATTGGGTTCTTCATTTAGTTTTAGGACTTGTGTTGAGAACAGATCACGTTTTAGATCATATTTATGCAGAGATAAGGAACCATCCAAAAGGGTTCACAAACGGTAATTGCCAATCATACCTGATATAGACAAGTGGCAGGATTATCTTGCCCGCCCACCTTCCATTTTTTGACTATATCAGGGCTTTTCAACCAGTGGTACAGGTACCACCTGTAGTACATTGGCACCTGACAGGTGGTACGCGACCATCCTACAAAAGTGGTAGTGGGGGAGGGGAATGAGCTGAACCGGTGGCAGCACCGCACAAGCCTGAGAGAGAGATGGCTGGAGCTGCAGGGCTGTCAGGGCTCAGCGGAAGCACCAGGATCAGTGCCAATCAGCTGGAATCCAGGGTCTTATGATTTACATTCAGATGCTTGGCAACTGATTCATATTTATGACGGTCACAGTGTCCCAGGGTCATGTGAAGTGACCAAAACCTGCTGTAACCACCCAGCAGACGGGGGGAATAAAAACCAAACACCCCCCACCCAACCCCCGCTGCCAATCCTCAACAGAAATGCTCACAACAATGAAAACCTCAGACAGGAGGAAGAGCGCCACCAGGTGGGCAGGCAGGTGTCTTGCTCGGCTGTGGCTTTGGGGGCACTTTTTTCAGTGCCATTGTAACTTCAAGCAGTCACTAAGCGAACTGTTGTAAGTCGAGGACTATCTGTACTTTATCACTTTTTTCTTTTTCTTTGGTCATCAAGTTTTTGACATCTTGCTAGGCAACTGGTGGTACTCGGATGTTGCCGTATCCTAAAAGTAGTACAATGGGTGAAAAGGTTGAAAAGCCCTGGACTATATAACCAGAACATTTTTTTATTGTTTACTGTAAGATGAGAACATGACAGAAGAGAAGTAAACATAACCAGAACAGGAAGCTTTCACAATGCAAGTCCAAGGGTTCAGTTTGCTTGATGAGAGTGACTGAAACCAAACTTTAATGCAACTATGAAGACTGGAAACTTGGGACTAATCTTTCTTGATAATTCCATGACAACCTGTTACAAGTTTATGGAGGCGAGGTGGAATAATATACACTGTGGATAAAATAAGCACCCTCTGTCTACCCAGTAGTAAGCTTTTCACTCTGGGACAAGGCCTAGCAACATCATGGGCATCACAAGGTACAAATTGCATCTGACACATCTGTCAATAGCTCAGCAGGACACTTAACAGTCACGCATCCTTCACCCTTCCCAAATTTGTCCCGAATGAAGCTCAGCATCTTGATCAATAACCAGGACAATAAGATTTGGGGGCAGGAGGGCAATCAGGCCCTGACCCCCGCAGAGAACCAAGAAGGCACTTGGACCAAAAAACCCACATTAATGCAAGTTAAAGCAACAGCTTCTTCATTGTGAGGGTCAAGGAGGGTTGCCTCACCTCTGACTTTCCCCCACAAAGTCAGTGCAGGCAACAACTGTCACCAAAGCAGCACAGCGCCTACATGTTAGCTTCATGGCAATTAGGGAAGCAGGATGAACACTATAGACAGGATTGTATAGAGGCAATCCCATCCCTCACATCAACACACACCAGAACCCAGGAGATACTACTACTACTACTACTAGCAGTAGTAGTAGTAGTAGTAATAATAATAATAATGAAGAAGGAGAAGTCATCTAGTCCAACCCCCTGCTCAGGCAGGAAACCCTACACCATTTCGGACAAATGGCTGTCCAGTCTCTTCTTAAAAACTTCCAGTGTTGGAGCATTCACCGCTTCTGGAGGCAGGTTGTTCTACTGGTTAATTGTTCTAACTGTCAGGAAATTTCTCATTAGTTCTAGGTTGCTAGAGTGAGGTGGGGAAACTAGGCGGAAGAAGAATTAGATATGATCACTGCCTTATTTTTGAAAACAATAACAAAGATGGAATAAATAAATAAGTAAATGGTAAGTTTATGGTTCAGAAGCAAGGAAAAGCGTGAACTGGTGTGAGAATGGAGGAATAGCACACTAACTTGGAATGACTTGGTGACTTGAGGGTGCTGTCTCCAGCTTTCAACTTGCCTATTCTTATTTTATTCTGCACTTCGTTTTAATTCAGTTTTCTATTCTATCTTTTTCATATGATTTTATAGTTTGTATCTGTAAACGGCCCACTAGGACAGTGAGATGGACACTGTCCAAATTTGATGAACAAATATAAATAAAAAAGTACTGATCAGCTGATCAGTTCATTGTATAAACACTAGCATTGTCAAAGTGTTTGAATTCACAGCTACTAAATACACCAATAGCCACCCTTTTGTTTTGAAATAGGTGCAATTCATGGAGGATTGGGCTATTGCTAATGAATAGTTTTGCTGGTTCTTTCCAATCATTCAACCGCTAGAATCGTAGAGAGATTATTTTACATACCAGTGGCTAAGGACCTTCCTGAGTACAGCTAATTAGATACTGTGAGAATCCGCAGAATGCTAAATTCAACACCTTTTTGGTTTGGCCCAGCAGGATTATTAGACACACTCCATTTCTTGTTTGTTGCAACAATAATACTGAATAGAATAGAATAGAATAGAATAGAATAGAATAGAATAGAATAGAATAGAATAGAAGCTGGAAGGGGACCTTGGAGATCTTCTA